TTGAACGTAATAAAAAGATGCTAATTTATCCACTTGCTGAATGAAAAGAATTTTAAATGAACTCAAAGTGAATTTAATAATAGAGAATCAAGAAAAATTTTGTTATAAATAAATAAGTCATTGCTAACTAGAAATGAAGGATTAGCTGGTCTTAATGCACAGTTTTGAAAAGAAATATTAATTTTGATATAAAAAGTAACATATATTCGTACCATCCCTTAAAGTTAAAGATCCCCGCATGCGAAGTATGTTTCATTCCTGATGATGACATCCTAAACCTGTCGAATGTTGACCGTCAACAACCAAATAAATTTTTTATTGTGTATCTTAAACATTGTTCCTGCTTTTTATGTTAGCTGCAGCAAGTGTGTTCTTCTCGAAAGTTGCCAGAAACTAAGAAACTTGTTGGTGTACAGAGAAATCTAACAATTCCACAACTGTTTTTTTCTGTGTTTAATTAACATTGACAAGTTGTAGCGTCATCTAGCACGATCATTATTAAAAAATAAAAAAAGTTAAGTAATAGATATATAATAAAATAAAATGAAAATACTAGTTTAAAATATCAGAATAATCAGGCTGGTATAGAAAAAGAGAAAACATTAATTTATCATTAACATAAATCGTTTATTGTACAAACTCTGTTTCGGATCATCAGAAGTCATTGCTAAGTCTCATTAAGTTTATATACTTTCTGTTGTATTTGCAATATCTAAAGCTTCATGCAAATCATTAAAGAGACTGGTTTCTTTGTTACCTCTAAGCTGTGTATGTTTTCTTATGGCAAAGTCACATTGGGCTAGCTTCTGTTTTCACCGAGGGGAAGCGAACCCCTCATTTTAAATCCGAAGACTTACCGTTGTCCCATCGAGGGACTACTTCTAGCTTTTCGGATATAAACATCTCAAAGTGTTCATGTATACCTCAAAGTGTTCATGTATACACCTCTCTCTCATACTTACAAGTGTATGGGCCGGGCGTGGCCTAGTGGTTAGTGTACCTGTAGGTGAATGTGATTATAAATGTGATTTTCGCAGAAAATGTGTTCCTAATTTTGATGCTGTGGGTGACGGCCACACCCCACTATTCAATCAGGCAAGAGTTAACCGTCGTTGCTATTAACTACCTTTTACTTCGAGTGTTTCAGCATATGTTATGGACAACAACTAGTTCAGATCGACCTTATGTAGCTTTGCGCGAATATCTCAAACCAACAATGTTGTGATATGCTTCTACACATTGATACGTGTTGTATATGGCTGGACAATAATAATGATTTGAACTACAAGTGTAGTTGCTAGGAGCATTTTGAAGTTTCGTAGCAATATTTCAACTAACTTTTATATCGAAGATACAGAGATTTCCAGAAAATGCACTACAAAACGTTTTTCACATGTAGAGAAAGTGAAGTTAACCCTTTCACAAAATAGTACTAACATATCCATAAAGATTTATTACTTCAAGTGTTTAATTTCCCAAACTATGCTTTAGCTCTAAATTTGCCCCCCAGTGGCACAGCGGTATGTCTGCGGACTTACAACGCTAAAAACCGGGTTTCGATACCCGTGGTGGGCAGAGCACAGATAACCCTTGTGTAGCTTTGTGCATAATTAAAAACAAACAATCTTTAAATTTACATAATTTCATGTTAGTTATTAAACATCCTGTACTATGTTAATCAGTGTCTACTGTAAACGTACGTTAAATGGCAAAGCCGAGAAAATTTATTGAGATTTCACTCTTGAATTGCTTTGATTTGTTTAACTAGCTACATCAGTATTTAGGGAATTCTGGTGCAAATCGTACATATGGCGCCCTTTTAACAAGTGTCTGACTTTGGTAATTTTACATTATTAGATGTCAATTAAAATTAACAATAATCGTTACTGAATTAAATTACCGTGAAGGTTACGCCATGCACAATCGTTAATTTACATACTCTCGAAACAAGTCTCCGCTGTACTGTTTGTTTGTAGTTAAGCACAAAGCTTCAGAAAGAGCTATTTGTGATCTGCCCACCACGGGTATCGAAACCCGGTTTCTATCGGTGTAACTGTCCGGAGACATACCACTGGGGAGACCCGCTGTGCTGTGAAAGGCCTTTCACGAAATACGTTATGCTTACACACAGATTATTTACATCCGGGAAATTAATATTTAGAATAGAATTGAAGAAAAACAAAACAATACATAATTTATTCACCACCATCATTTCACCAATTACTTAAAATAGATAAACTTGTCTTTTTGTAATTTGTTTGGCGAGGTGAGTGAGTGAGTGCCCTAAACATGAACTATACTTTTTGGGGGTATGTATGTTGTAGGATGCTCTAAACATGAACTATACTTTTTTGTGGTATGTATGTTGTAGGATGCCCTAAACATGAACTATACTTTTTGGGGGTATGTATGTTGTAGGATGCCCTAAACAGGAACTATACATTTTTTGTGGTATGTATGTTGCAGGATGCCCTAAACAGAAACCGTGTTAGTCTATATATATGTATATAGAGTATGCTCCAGGGTTCGAGAGAGGGGGTGCATCCGATGAAATCACCGGGGCCAGGACTCAAGCAAAAATATTTCCCACACATACGATACCGGGAAGTCCTCCTTCTCTCTCTCTTTAAAGAGTAGTACTTATATGTTGATGATGCATTTTGGTGAGTCTTGCAAGAGAAAAAAATTATATATACGATTGAGGGGTGAGGTTAAGGATGATGAGGGGCCCAGAATCAGGGGAAGCTCTAAACACTTTATAAATGGCGTATATGTACATATGACAAAAGAAACAAATCTGAGAAGCGTCAAAACGGCAGACAGACGAATCAAGTGTTCATGCACTTACTAGAAGAATGATCCATGCAGGATAAACCTTAACGTTCTCCCCAGTTCCTAAGAAGTGAAGCCCGTGGAAGTTTCATGCACGCACAAACAAAATAGTCATATAATTAAATTATTCCACTCATACTCGTGAAACAGCAGCCACCAGGAAAACCACATAAAATAAACACGGTTTTTTCCTGACTCAGCGACGCCATCTGGAGTTAAGAGTGTTGCTGGTTGTTAATTAAAATTCGACTCCTTGGACGCATTACATTAAAACATAATATACATAATGAGTAATACATATATATAACTTGAACGTTTATACTTCATCAGTACTTTTTTTTGTTAGTTATTGAAATTCCTTTCATCAGGGGTGTAATGGTATCCAAAGAAAACGCTTTTAACTGTTCTACTAATAGAAATGTATCATGGTAATGTGTGATGTGACTTAGGACTAGATTTATCTAATGTATAAAGATTGGTAAAAATTGAAGAATTTCTAAGAAATTCGTTTTTAAATGTTTATATATATATATAAATGAACAAAAACAAGCCCAAACAAAATACAAATTAAATTAAAGACGCTGCATAAATTAAAAGGATCCCCTGGGTACATGTCTATAATGTCTCACATGAAAATATTCATAAAAATAAAATAAAACTATAAAAAAAATACAAGTTAGGAGATGTGGGTGTTCAAGTCCACAACGTCCCACATCTATAGGAGAGCAAGATGTGGGTGTTCAAGTCCACAACG